AAGTTAACATATATCATAGGTTTACACTACCCTGTGACCGAACATTTCTGTAGGATCCTGGTATTCCCCACAGTGTTGTTTGGGGGTTTCAGGAAAAAAGCTTAAGGCCAGCGGTATTTTCCATTCTCAGATATTAAATATAAAATTATTAATGTACTAAAAATGCATGTAACAACTTTTTTTGTTGTTGTTGTTGTGAGGCAGTTGGGGTTAAGTGACTTGCCCAGAGTCACACAGTTAGGAAGTGTTATGTGTCTGAGGCTAGATTTGAACTCAGGTCCTCCTGACTCCAGGGCCACCTAGCTGCCCCTATGTAACAACTTTTAAGGATGAAAATAACAGTATCTAGTATTTATATAGTGCTTTAAGGTTTACAAAGTGCTTTACAAATATCTCATTTTATCCTTCCAACATCCCTTGGAGGTTAGTGCTATTATCCTCATTTTACAGGTGAGGAAATTGAGGCAGATAGGCAGAATAACTCACCTAGGCTTACACAGCTTGCTAGTGTTTGAGGGTAGGTTTGAACTCTGGTCTTCTAGACTCCAGTTTATTCAGGTTGTACCCTAGATGACTTCATTTCTTATATTTTGTTCCAAAATTTCCCTTACATACCCTTTTCCCTTTGTCTCAGCAATGTTTCTTTAGCCTTAGATATCTATAATTCAAGCCCTGAAACGTTCTGAGACTCAATTATTTTGGAAAAAGATGTTCTAATGCAAGCCAGGCCTCCTTACTTGACTTGCTCCCTTTTCTAGCTAGATAACAAAGGATTTCAAAAGATAATTGTGTATTGAGAAGAGTGTTGAACTGCTGGTCAGAGGATGACTGGTGACAACCTAGCTCGGGCTTTACTGCCTGAATAACCGTGGGCAAACAATGAAACCCCTAAAATGAGAGGATTGGACTTGATAAGCCTGGAGGTCTCTTTCAATTCTAAACCTATGATTCTATGAACTGCTTTATCTTCCTAGTATGAGTTAGTCTCAGACCTGCCTGAACTTGGTGACTACTTTTTTTCTTGTCATTTAGTGCTATAATAAGTGCTATATTTGTGGAAAACACTATGGTAGGTGCTAGGCACACAAATCCAAAAATCAAATAATCTTTGCCCTCAAGGAATTCACATTCTCCTGGGAGGATACAACATGTACACAGGTAAATAGATGATACCTGTGGCCCAGGTCCGTCTCACTCCCAGAGCATGAGCTCTGGATTTAAGAGGACCGGGTTTAGTCCTGGGGAAGCTTGACCTTTAAGGGTTTAGGGATGGGGTCAGGTTTTTCTCAGTGTCTTCCTTCAAGATTCACTTAAATCCTCCACCCACCCATGCTATTTTTAGCTTACCTCCCATTTACACTGTATATTTCTTTTTTGTTGAATTTTTTTGAATGTTGTTACCCATATTAGATTGTGAGCTCCTCCTTGAGGGTAGTAACTTAAAAGTCCCAGTACTGAACACAGTGCTTAACCCAGTAAATACTTAATAAATGCTTGTTCTCTGGCTGTGACTGTGCTCATTGTAGTCCCACCTTAGATATGCAGTAGGTTGAAGGAATTTCTAAAATATAAAGCTCTAGGTATGGTTCATGTGTAGGGTCCCCTTAAAAGGGATTAATACAGTCCATTGCAGACTCAATGCACAATCTAGTAAATTAGCTAGATTTCACTTTTTTTTTTGTGAAGTGACTAAAGATGTGCAGTATTTCTTTTAGGGCAGATTCTTTTTCTCCTACAATTTTTGCAGAGACCTGTTTAAAATTACACTTGGGGGAAAACCATTCAGTATTAAATCATGGCTATTTTTCTTAGATTTATCTTTTCTTTTTAAGTCAATTCTGTTTTATATTCTCTTCCTCTGAGACAAAGTCCTGGTACACTCATAAGCCCATTAGGAAGTACTGTATGAAGTTTCAATAGTGAAATCAAAAGAAATCTTTTATTATTCTTCCTGAACATTAATAGCAATGTTGACTAGGGTTTTTTTTTTTAAAATGAATATGTAATGTCCCTTTCCTTCTCATGTACTTATCCCCAAAAGATATCAGCAGAGGAATCTCTGTCATGTGGAACTGTTAAGGTTTGGGGAGGTGTTTTGGGGGTGCGGGGTTCCTTCACAGGTATGAAAGGAAGGAATGTTTTGTGTTGAGACTGGAGAGAATAGAGGGGGCAGAAAGTGACCCTCCTGCCAAGGAAATCAGTCCCCACAGTTCAAAATGTACCTCAACATTTTGGATTCATTTTCTCATGAGGGTAGGTTTTTCTGCTGGAGGTGGAGCAAAACAGCCTTTTTGCCTCCCAAGTATTTCTAGTTTCTGTCCTCCCATAAGCTTTCCACAGAGGGTTTGCCCAAGGCTCCAAGTATTAATTTTTTTGGGAATATGTGTGGGATGAGTGCCTGATAAAAAGAAAAAAAATTATGTTATACAAAGTTTATAGAACTTCTCAAACAATTGAACTTCTAGAAAGCATTCTTTTATTTGGATCCAGAAAAAATAGCCTATTAAAATTTCAACTCCCCCTTTTCTGTCTGTGTGCGTTTCTGGAGGCTAAGTCCTACATTAGCTTTTTCTTGTCCATTTTGATGAGATTGTTAGATTAACCGTGATTTATGAGTAACAATTCTTGCCTAGCCAGAATTTCTGCACTGGATTTGAAGAACATTTTGCTGTCAAGTTGGTTATTTTTAAAGCATTTTTAGAACCTGGCTCAAAATATCCTTATAGTAGAGAGAGTTTTTATCCACATAAGGGCCTTTAGTGAGTTGCCCTGTTTGTCTTAAGTTCAGCATGAAAACTTCAAAAGGATAATAAAATTAATCTCTGTTTTCTTTTCCTTTTTAGCTTCTCAGATAAGCTATCCAGTGGGAAGGGCTTACACTTTCAGCCTTCAGTGCTAGATTTTGGAGTGCAGTAAGTATCTGATTTCTTGTTTTCCCCTTTATACATTTTGTTCTTAATTCCCCCTCTCCCATCAGTTTTTATTTTATAAGTTTCAATAATATATCACGTTTGTTGCCTTCTATCACATTATCCTCTGTGTGTATATGCACACATGTACATATGTATACATATATAAGCTATATATAGTTATGTATATGTGTATATTTATGTGTGTGTGTATGTATATATAGTTATATTACATCCAGTGTAACATAGGATATATATATGTATATATATGTGTGTGTGTGTATATGTATATGTGTGTATATATATATGAATAACCAAAATTTATATCATGCTTTAAGGTTTGCATGGGACTTCATACACATTCATTATTTGATCCTCACAATAACTCTATAAGAGAAGGACTAAAGGTATCATTACTCCCATTTTACAGGTGAGAAAACTGAGGCTTGTAAAGTTCTAAGTGACCTGCCTGCTCAAGGTCATACACCTAGTAAGTTTCTGATATGGGACTCAAACCCAGGTCTCCCTCCTGAGTCTTAGCTCAATAATCTTCCCTTTAAGGAAAATGAGAAAGAGAAAGGATATGGGAAGAGGGAATATTGGAGAAAGGGGAATGCAAGAAAAGAAAAAATATTTAATGGTATCAAATATTTGAAGGGTCATAGCTAGTGCCTTTAAGTTGCACCTAGGGAACAGCCTTTTATGTCTTTTGAAACTGAATTAGTTCATTGGAAATACTAACAACTGATGCTTAAGGATTGTAAAATATTCTGCATACATTTTCTCATTTGTTGCTATCATCTCTCCTTCCAATAGACATTTATTTGGCCTCTGCTATGCCCTGTGCTAGGGACTGGGGTTATAAAGATGACAAATGACATGTCCCCTTTCCTTCAAGGAGTTTGCCCTGTCAGAAACAAAAGAAGTCTTGGGTGTCCCATTTACTGAATGTGTGATCTTGAATGAGTTACTTGACCTTGTCTTGGTCTCATCATCTCTATAATGGGGTATTATATCCTTTTCATGGTATTATTTCAAAGAGAGCACTCTATGGACTGTGAAGGACTGGCCATGTGTGAGTCGCCATGTTGTTTACCCCTTGGGGACTCATGGACCAAACAGTCTCTGAGCTCTGCTTGTTGCCACCTGGGGGACCACACATGAAAGTTTGGTGGTTTTGCTTATTAATATATCCAGGTGGTAGTGTAAAGAGTGCTGGATTTGGAGCCAGAGGACCTTGGCCAACTCCTCTTGTCCTCAGTTTCCTCATCTGTAAAATGGGAAGTTTGGTAGATGTGCCTCTGTGGTTCCTTTCACATCTGTATTTAAGATCTTGTGGTCACGGTGGTATATAAACGCCATTCACAAATGAAGATTGCAGGAGGTCTGTAATTGACAATCTTGGAGAGTACTTGAGGTTCAGTGGGATTAAGTGATTCATTCTTACTTTGGATTATCCCCCATTCTCTGGAACCTTCTTTTCTATTCATATGCAGCTAGATGAAGTTGGAGAAAAATCATAAAACCATGTTGATTGGGTTCACTGTAAATTTTGTGTTACATAATCTCTCAT